GCACAAGATACCTAGAGTTAACTTATTTTCTATGCACACCATTGTAATAATATTATTTAATTACATTTAATCTATGTAATATACCTACTTGTTTAATTAATATACTTACACAAAATTACCAATTTAAATTTATTAATAGTTATTTATTATATTTTTGTAAACCAAGTACCAACTGATTGACATAGTTGTATATTTGCCAATATTGTCTACATTAATTATTAAAAATATGTTGATAAATTTTTTAAACGGAATCAAACCGTTTTGGATTAATAATACTTCGGATAAATGTATATCTACATCCCAATATCAAACTTCAACTGCAAACAATTTCTTATCGATTCTAAATTGTGTTATTGAATAAAACAATTTTTAATACATTTGTAAAATTAATAGATCTTTATAATTACAATATCTATGTAAGTAAAATGTACCTAATTGTCTATAATGTCGATATGAAAGTATACCTACCTATTTACTATTTTCTTTTTAAGATTTATAGTGTTGGTTAGCTCATTATGAATACCAATAAATCCTATACTTTAATAAATAAATCGTTGAATAAAACTATAAAGAGCATTATATTATTTGTTCCCAAATCAAAAACAATAGCATAATATTTTATTATAGAATAGCTTAATTACATTTAGGTAATACATGCATTAAATACATACATTTATTACATTTTACCATACATAAAAGCTTATGCATTTTATTTACCTTTATTTTATTTATGTTAGTGTATCTAATTCAATTTTTTGGCGTAGGTATAGACTTACATTTTTGTTTATACAACCATGTTTATTGTAAGGAAATTTTAATTAAGCATCAACCTACATAAAAAGAAATTTATCATACAAGACAGATTTATGTAGGTTGATCATATCCAAATAAGCAAACCTGTTTAGAACCTCTCACTCTATCTGCTGAATCTTTACATTGTACTCTACAATGAATAAGTTTTTATCAATTTACTTATATTAATCTTGTTAAAATTTGTTTTTGCAGTATATTAACTTTTAAAAACCATTTCAAAGACTATCGCAATTATATTTTAGTAAAATATACGTCTACCTAATGTTAAATATAATTTAGCATTATTACCTATAATTTATAATAAGTAAATATTTTTATCTGTTAGGCATCCTCCTGTGGGTATCCTATTCATATTTGTAATGATCATTATCATTAATAATTGTTATTAATTTCTACCTAAATAAAAAATGAAATTAATATAATCTTCCCACAAAAAGTCAATAAGGTTTATTTATCAATCATTTAAATACAATGCTCCTATATTGTGTATAAATATAAAATACATAATTTAAACTTTTTTTTTATTTTCAGCACATTAATGAGTCAAAAAATATACGGTTAAATTTAAACTTCATAGTGTTTTAATAAACTTTATGGAAAAATGACCGCTGAGGAAGATACATCATATACAAAGTTGCCCATTGAGGAACGATGTGTACACAAAGTAACTATTTATTTGTATATTCTTGTATACAACTAATTGTTTTCATTTTTATTAAGTTTCATACACTTATCGTCCCCCAGTGGCATACACAGATATTTTCAATGGGAAGGGTTATATAAAAATTTTTTTTATACATTTTATGAATTTTTATACATCTATACATATAGATGTAGTAAATAATACCAAGGGGGTTAACCCCCCCACTATGTGTACACCACTGCCGCCACCCATAATATTGTAATATGAGAAATTGTTTTTTAATTATTTTTATAAATTTCCTATAACAATAATTTTAACAATATATACTAAATGTTAATTACTTTATTAAGTTGTGGAAAGCCAGAATAAGTGGTTATGAAGAAGCTATTAAGTTGTTTGGACAATTGGATGAAAAAGCTCCCGAATGGAATAAATTTACAGGAATAGTAAAGAAATTTGTTATTGACAGCAATGCGGTTGCACAGGAAAAAGGTCTTGAAGCCACATTAGTTTTTGTAGAAAATTCTGCTACTGCTGGACGGTTAGTTAATTATAATTTTTATTTTAAGTAGCATTTTTTGTGTTTTACATTAATATTTTTATAGTACGGTGGGTGATGTCATGACTGGTTTGATAACAAAATGTTATGGTGCACCAAAAGCAAAAACTAAGGATATTGCTATACAAATAACATTAATGTTTATTGAAATTGAAAAACAAGATATAGTTATAGAAGAATTAGTTAAAGGAATGGACCATAAATTCCCTAAAATTGTTTCAACTTGTATTAAAGCTGCAACTCAAGCAATAAAGTAAGTAATATATACTAATAGTAGTATAAAAAATCATATTGAATCATTAAACTTTTAAACTACAAATAAATGTCAATTTTAATTAATAAAAAAATGTATTATATTCTTAAATGTATTGGGATTTATTTATTTTAGAGAATATGGATCAAAAGTTTTGAGTATTAAACCTCTACTGAAAAAATTACAATCAATACTTGAAGATAGAGATAAAAGTGTTAGAGATGAAGCAAAACTGTTGGCCATAGAAATTTATTCCTGGATTGGGCCTACACCTGTTAAAGCTAATTTGGCTAATCTAAAACCTCTACAAGTAAATATACCCAGGCTTTATCATATAATAATTGATTAAAATAAATATTTAAATAAGATTCAAGAATTGGAAGCAGAATTTGAAAAAATAAGCGGTGATAAACCACGGGCTACACGATTCCTACGTTCTCAACAAGAACAAGCTGCTAAAATGGAAGAAGTTGCTGCTGCTAATGGAGGTAAGCTAAAAATTAATATTTGCAAGCAAAATAAATTAATAAAACCTATTTAAATAATAGATATGATATTGGAAGAAGGCACTGATGTAGTTGATGATCCAGAAGAACATATTGATCCAGTTAACATACTAAGTCAACTTAGTAAAGACTTTTATGAAAAGGTTGAAGCAAAAAAATGGCAAGAACGTAAAGAAGCCATGGATACACTTGAAGGAATATTGTCTAAAGCTCCTAAATTAGAAAGTGGTGAATATGGAGATCTAGTCAGAGCCTTAAAGAAAGTAAGAAATCATGTTATAAATTTGATAATAATAATTTAATAATAAGTATTATTAGGGAAGTAGTTTACGGAGGTTTAAAGTTTAAATACTGTGATGTGCAACCTGTGCATGTTACATAAAATAAGATATGTTTTATTTTATTTTTAATTTTAATCTTGAGGTTTAGGTATATTATGATCTAATTATTTAAGTTTAAAATAATGTGAGTCTAATTTCCTTAAGTTTTACGGTTACCATCAAATGATAGTATTATAAAATACAGGAATGTAACAGTACGTCTAGAGTAGTGAATAGTGTAAATGTATTGGATGTAACAGTAAGCCTGGAGAAGTGAAACGGTGTAAATGTTTTGGGCGTAATGTAAGCCTGGAGAAGTAAAATGGTTAATAAATAATACTAATTGTAATAAACAATTAACAATATAAATATTAAGTTAGTATATAATAATTAATATATTGTTTTTATGTATGTACTTATACTTATTTTTTGATTTTTCTATAGATTATTTCAAAAGATTCAAATGTTATAATAGTTGGTATTGCTGCCAAGTGTATGGCAATGTTAGCTAATGGATTGAAAAAACGATTTGAAACCTATGCTTCTGCTTGCATACCAGCATTGTTGGAAAAATTTAAAGAAAAAAAACAAAATGTTGTATTGCCACTACGAGATGCTGTCGATGCAATATATTTAAGCGTAAATTATATTTAGTTATAATATTATATAAACAATAATTTATAATTATTTTAGATGACACTTGAATCTATTCATGAAGATATTTTAACTGCAATAGACAATAAAAATCCATCCGTAAAAGCTGAATCAGTTTCGTTTTTAACTCGATGCTTTTCAAAATGTACACCAACAATTTTAAACAAAAAATATCTAAAAATTTTCACTACGGCATTAATAAAAACATTGAATGAATCAGGTAATTTTTTCATAATAAATGTTATTTTTAATTAATCATATTTTAAAGTAAGCATTAAAAACTTAAATAAGTTATATACTTATTTAATATATTATAAATAATGTTTAAACAAAAAAAAATGAACCATGCATGTTAAAACAATCTTTTTTCTAAAGCCTATTACCAACTGAAATGGCAGATGTGTTTATTTGTTTTGATGTGAGTTATAGTTACCCATTCTTATGCAATAGCGAAGTTTACCTCGATAAAATCATTGTATCTCTATCTAATCTATATAAATAATGAAATTATGGTATCTAACTGCTATATAAGAGTAAGGTGTAAAAAAAATGACCTAATTTCTATTCAGATATGTTTAACTTTTTTATTATCTTTCTACCTATATAAAAATAAAATATCTGAGCATAACACAGATCTAGATAGTATCACTAACTACAAACTTCACTTACGCATTACTAAGTATATTTTTAATAATTTCTAAAATTTCTTTCCTTTAATCAGTGGCTTAGACATGATTTCAGGAAGCTATAAACATGATTGCAATTAAATAAAATGACAGCTACATGGGAGGGGAAAATTGGAAAATCCTTCACCCTCAAACCTTTTTACATAGGTAGTAAAATATTTAATAATAAGGAACAATGAATATAATTATATAGTTTTTTTGTGGGTTTTTAAAAATATCAAGTGGTGTAACCTAGAAAAACAGCCGGGTTTTTTCACGCTGGGCTTTTTTGTGCTAACTCTGCATCAAACACAATATGGAATTATCCTCTCTAAAGCCAATAGGGGAGGGGGATCTGACACCCATGCCACCCCCTTGTATACGCCACTGGCGTCAATATTGATAAAAAAAAAGACACTGGGGCGGGTTATTATCAAAAATACTTGTGCGACGCAATTGAGTCTAAATCAGTATTCAGTATCAGTGTTCGCCAGTAATGTTTCTCCCAGATTAAAATGCTGACAATTTGTTTATTAATTATTTGTACAATTCTTAACTTTTTTTTTTGTAGATTATTAATAAAATATTTAATTGAAATAAAAAATTATTAATATAATACTAAACAAAGAATGCGTGGACCTACAAAATGTTCCTTTTGATTGGTTATCAGATTCAACAATTTTAGCTAGTACAGAAACAGCACAGAATGCTTCTTGACCTGTTGGTATTATTTCACAAGTAGGCAAAATAAAACCATTGGCACCAGTATCTCTTAATTCCAATGCAAATACATATCTAATATTTGCTATACCTTTCATCCAATCTATTGACGTTCCTGTAAAATATTGTTGATATTAATTATTAAATAGGAACTCCATTAAAATAAATTGATTTAAACCTGATGCTCTATATAACACTGTACTTGCTGGACCAACAGTATAGATGTTTGAAGTTTTTTTAAATATTTTTAATGACATGGATGTAGCTATGTTCTGAAGTTTTTCATAGTCTTTTATATGATCTCTAGTGTATGCCCAAGGAAATACAATAGCTTGTCCGTATGAGTGTAATGTTATAAACCCCTGTTCAGCAAAGGGTTTTTATAAGTACTTACCTACATTTATTTTTGTGTAGTATATTTTTGTACAATGTTTATAATTTTACAAATATTTTTGAAACTTAATTTCAATACTAAATTTAAACAGTGTAATTAATTCAAAGATTGGTTTTTGTTATACCGTATCCGCAAAAATAGGGTACACTGTATAATTAAATTATCCATATTACTTAGTACCCCATGGCCCATACATATTTTTGAATTCTGTTTGCGGCATATTAAATTAGACTATTGGATCATCAATCTCCCGCAGACAGAATTCTAAATTATGTATTGGTTACTGAGTAATGTAGGTAACTGAGTTATAGAGTATACCTAGTTTTCACGGACACGGTATACATGTAACATAATTTTTAGTGTACCAATTAAAGCTTTTGATTTTGTTAGAGTTCCTTCTATAATTCTTCATTAAGATGATGTCAGGGCACTATTTATTTTCTCACTCTGGCCCACGCACAAAATAGACAAAACGCATTTATGCAGAATTTTTGCGTAAATTGTTTATCTACTTGTATAACTTAATATTTATTCTACATTAAATTAATATAAGTTTCCAAAATACTCTTATTTCAAATACTTTAGTACACAAAGTGATTATTTTATCATTAAACACTAATTAGTTCCAAAAGTATAAATGTTTTTTACGTAGTATCATAACGTTATAAACCCAAAAAATTATATTTTAGTATATCAAATTTTCCCTATAATTAAGTTATTACTTTTTTGAATAACAACATAGAGTTTTAATTTCATATCCCAAAGCAAAATATGTTTCTAAGTATTTTCTATACATAAAAATAAAATTTAGAGCAAGTAGTTTACAAGGCAGGGCAATTAACGAGTTAAAAAGTTAAAGTTAAGTTATTTTTGACTAAGTTAAAATATAACGAGTTACATTTTTTTCTATATTATTCAGTAACTTATGAGTTAATTAACTTTATTGTCACGTTTAGTTAATTTTAATCATAAACCACATTAAAAATATATTCAGTTATGTAAATATTAATTTTATAAAAAAAAAAAAAATAATAATAATAATCCGAAATATTAAATATAGTAATCGATAAATAATAATTTATTATAATAGTGTATAATACATAAAAATAATTTAATTATTTTGTTAGTAATTAATTTTAATAGGTACATACATTATTTTATTGAATTACTATATTATTTGTTAACTATAAAAAAAGATTGGTATAATTATTAATTTTATATGAAAAAAAAGTAACTGATTTTTAACTAAGTAAAGTTACTTTCATTTTCTAATTAACTTGTAACTTTTACAAGTTAAAAAAATAAATGTAACTTTTAACTTTAAACTTAACTTGCATTTTTCTTTATTGACTTAACAAGTTTAAAAAATAGTTAACTTGCTCAGCCTTGGTAGTTTATGAGTTATAAGTATTTAAGTTAGTGTTATATGGAGTGGAGTGGTATGGAGTTACCCTGCAAAATGTTTGTCCACTACTCATCTAAACTTAAAATATTCATAAGTCATAAACTACTCACCCTAAATTCAATTTTTATGTATGGAAATATACTTTTTGAAATAATGAGTGTTTTATGACCCTGTATGTATATTAAATAATATAAAATCGCATAAAGAATGACTTAACCATTACCTTTTTAATGTTATACAAAATATTTATGCTAAATAACTAATAATTATAAAATATTAAAATAACATAGAAAAAAAAATAAGTAGGTCAGTGGATGTCGCTCTGCTGTATAGTAAGTTACAAGTGGGTTACTGTATAATGGATTGTATTAAAATTAAAATTTGAATTCAATGATATCATATCATTGTATACGAAAAACGATTCTGAGCGCTAACGGTTTGTCAGTCAGGATATTTTATATTGTGATTATATTTTATTATAGCCTGTAAGTTGAATTAATATTATAAATTACAACAAAATAACTAAAATCGTTATTTTAGATTCTGAGCGGAGCGAGGAAGCTAGTGGTTTTACAATGGTGTTTATTTTTTTTATTTTTATATCCTGTATACAAAATTTCTACCAGAAGGAGTTCTTCGATTTCAACATATAGTACCTTATCTTTTAGCAAATTAGATCCAGATGGTACTTTAGAGAGGTCGTTTTTCAATTTTATCGGTAGTTATTTAATGCCACGGTAAAAATCACCAAAAACTTACGAAAAACCGCTAACAATTGGATTTTAATTTCTAACGCTTTGTTTATTACCATAGAAACAAATAAAAAATTATAATATTATAATATTAATTCAACTTACATGATATAATAACTAATAACAATATAAAATATCCTGACTGACAAACTGTCTCCGCTCAGAATCGTTTTTCTAAAAACAATTCATTATACAATGACCCACTTGTAACCTACTGTAGAGCAGAGCGACATCCACTTACCCGCTTTTTATTTTTTTTCATTTCTTTGGTGATAAACAAAGCGTTATAAATTAAAATCCCATTTTTAGCGGTTTTTTGTAATTTATCGTTGATTTTGCCCTTGACATTTAATAACTATTGAGAAAATCGAAAAATGACCTCCCTAAAGTACCATCTTGATCCAATTTGCTAAAATGTAAGGTACTATATGTTGAAATCCAAGCACTCCTTCTGGTAGAAATTTTGTATACAGGATTTAAAAAAAAAATATAATTAACACCATTGTAAAACCACTAAAATAATAAAACATATTAACAAATACTTAAAAATACTATATTATAGTTTTAATTATTGTGTTATTATTTCAACACATGAGCTATGAACATACATCAGATGAAAGATTGGGTCTGTATTAACCATGATACTTGAAGTTCTCAAGTTTTAGTGTGAACTGACCTTTATTTTAGTCAATTTATTTAAGATAAACTGAATGATTGCTTTTATTTCTAATTCTGAGTTTGGAGTTGGTCCTTGGTAACATGCTGAGCAACAGTTTTCACCAGAGTTTTCACTGTACCAATCAAAATTCCAGTTACGGTTCAAATCTATTCCTATACAACTGTTGTTAGACGTTTCAACTCGATTTTTCCTCCATAGCCTATCGTTTTCATATGAATATGTATACCTAAATAGCAAGAATTTATGGTAGAAATTACTAAATGGTGTTATTTGAATTTATTTAAGTTAAATTTCTTAAAGTATTACCCATCGGGATTTACAATTGGCATTAAGACAAAATGAATATTTCTCATATATATTGGTAAAGTCTTTCTATTATGTATCAATTCATTTGATATATATACCATTGAAGAAATAGTTATCCATTCCCGTGCATGAGTCCCTATTCAAATATATTAAAGGTTTATGGATATTTGTTTAAATAGTATTAAGACTAGTATACCTCCATCAATCCAAATAATATCATTGTTTGTTTTATTATTATCTGGTTTTATGTGTATTACTTTTAAAGGAGTTCCTTGCTTAGTATGTCCAATAGTTGAGACTTCAACAAATTTTTTTTTATTCAAATTATCAATAAACTTGTAAATGTCATTTGTATGATAAAATTTCCTAAATTTGTATGGAATGTCCTGAAATATAAAATACTCAATACTGCCTATATTTGATGATTGCAGTTGTAGATGGTTTGTTTTTTCATTAATTTTTGCCAATTAGCAAAAAAAAATAAACATTTCCCCTAGGTCAATTTTAATTTTTAAAAATAAAACATATTTTCTTACATGAAATTAGTTTTTATTTTTTCCCCTATCTAAAGTTCAATAATGTTCTGTAAAAATAAAGAAAATGAATTGTCTACAAATAAAAGAATAATTGTATACGATACGAGTGCATCTTTCTACTGCCTTTGGTACAACATTATTACTTTACTAATAATTTTTTCTGTGTCTTTTCTTGAGTCATATTTCATATTTTTATTTGTTGTGCTGGATAATACATTATTATAATTAATATATTCTTTTATTAAGTCTTGGCCAATGTTTTGTTTATTTACAATATCATCCATATAAGTTAAATTGCTTTTATTCACTCTCACTAAATCCATAATTATTTTTAATATATTTTTTACCTATTCGGTTTATAACTTACAATCTCTTCTAATCCTATTTTTGTAATTTTTTAAAACAATTAATGCATTTTTTGAATTCTGATAATTTGTTAAGTTTATGTTTTGTGCTAAACAACATAGCTTAATCAAATCCAGTACAGCATTTAATAAAAATAAATAATTCTTCATATTAGTTACATTTTTCACATTATATTTTATTATATCTGTTGATTTGTATCTATAACAACATAATCTATGGCATAATTTTAATCTTGAATGATTATTCAATTGTAAATGGTATAAGTTATATCAGGTGATTAATTCTTAGTGCTTTAGCCAAATATTTTTTTTTTTTTTTGTTATCAGGAATAAAATCAATACATTTTTATTTATTTACTCACGAACTATTAATTTTTAATTTACAGATCCAACTGTTCGAGATAATTCTGCTGAAGCTCTTGGTACTGCATGGAAGGTTGTATCAGAAAAAAATATTCTTCCATTTTTGACCACTGTAGATGCAATAAAACTTGCTAAAGTAAGTATACAAATCAGAATATACCTATTACAATTATTAATGACTTCAAAATTGTTTTCTAGATAAAAGAAGCATCAGAAAAAGCTATAATAACTGCAAAACCAACTAATATTGTAAGAGAATCAAAACCAGTTGCTGTCTCATCTAATTTTGGAGAGAAAAAAGCAACAGTGACAATTAACAAAAACACTGTTATTAGAAGAACTCGTACAGCTGTCAATATTTCTAGTAAAACTGTTGCTAACAGTAAGGCCAAAAAGCCTATGAGTGCTCCTGGTATATTTATTGCATTTAATATTTAGAATGTTGTAATGTGCCTAATATTATTTTTATACCTTCAGGTGGAGGACGTAAACCTGTACAATCAAAAGCTCTTCCTCCAATTGAAACTGAAAATGAAATCGGTGATGATGAATTAGATGAACTGGCTTTGACATTTTGTTCTCCTGAACTTTTAAATGGTATGGTTGACGCCAATTGGAAAACTCGTTTGTCCAATGTTCAAGAATTTTCTCAAGTTTGTGCTAATTATTTAAAAAAAAAAATAGTTTACTTAATAAATTGTTTGTATCTTTTATTTCAGATGATTGATCAAATGGAATCATTGACTGTTAGCAGTCAAGTATTAATAAAATTGCTGAATAAGAAACCTGGTATTAAAGATAATAATGTACAAATACAAAAATTGAGACTTGAGTGTTTAAAAAAAGTCATTGAAAAGTTTCCTATAACTAGGTATTTATATTATTTGTTTTATTTTTTACATTTTTTTTAATTTTTTTTTTTACTGTTAAATATCTATAGTACTGGCATGAATTCCTGTATTCAAGATGTTTCTTCACTATTGGGAGATAATAAAAATGGTAATTTAGCTAGTCAAGTACTGACTACTTTTGCAGAATCAACTAGACTAGATCTAGTCTGTAATGCAGTGTTAGATTATGCATTTACTGTACAGAAAAACCCTAAAGTTCAGATTGATGCCTTGAATTGGCTTTCAGGTGCCATTTTGGAGTTTGGATTTATGTAAGTACAGTTTTGTTTTATTTTAAGTATAAAATAAACTTTGATTTAATAAAGTAGTAAAAAATTAACCAACTGAGTGAATTGTACCAAGATCTACATTGTATTATCTTAATTAAAATAAATTATATTGGTCATATTCAATTTGTTAATATAGTAATATGTTTATGTATAGATTTGTTTATTTAAATTATTATCTTAAATTTCATGCTATCAGGTCTGAATTGGAGTAAGTCATGTTATTTATTTATTTAATTTTATTAATATATTTATAACCAACAAATGTACTTACAATTGTATAGTTCATAATTTTTTTTAGTGTTGTTACTTTTAATAATTTTATTTTTCTTATCTACCATCAATATGTAGAATTATAATAGCTCGTTTATATTGATCCTGGTTTAAAAGATACACTTAAACCTTACACTATTATTTTCATTTCTGTATTTAATAAATTGTTTGTAATACTTTATACTCTCGGTAATTCAACTATATTGTCAATCAAAAAAATTACCTATTGTACATATGTTTGTATAGATTGTAATTATTCTTTTAATAAAAAAAAAAAAAAAAAAATACTTTAGAGAAATCTATAGGTACTAAAAATACAAAAAAAAAAAAAAAATAATAATTTCAATATACCTATATTGAAAATAATATAATTATGGTTCATAAATATTTCATATTTGTCATGTAGGATGTTTAATATTATCAAAAGAAATAATTTGCAGTATTAAAAACACCGTGTAATATATTTTTTTGTTATTATTTTAGCATTGAACCTAAATCTGTGATGCAAAATGTCAAAAAAGCTGTGAGTGCTTCTAACCCTCAAGTTCGTTTAGCTGTTATTTCTCTTTTGGGTGTTATGTATCTTTATATGGGACCTCAGTTAAGTTTGTTTTTTGAAAATGAAAAACCAACTTTAGTGCAACAAATAAATGCAGAATTTGAAAAGGTAAGATTAATTGTTATTTATAACATATTCTGTAAGAAATAACAATGCATATAATTCTTTTTTTGGTCAATAGCATCAAGGGGAAGCTCCTCCTAAACCAACAAGGGGCAAAAATATGGATGGATCCACTGAATCCATAGAAACTGCAAGCGATGATGAAAAACCATCATATGAAGTTAACATTCGAGACATAGTACCAAGAGTAGATATATCTCCTCAAATAACCGATGCATTGATTAATGAATTTTCAGATAAAGATTGGAAAGTAAGTAGTATAAATACTATTAGTATATAAAAAACACTTTATAATTTATATATTTATATATATTTAGGTTCGTTCTGATGCTTTAACCAAATTGCAAAATATTGTTAATGAAGCCAAATTTATAACTAGTGAATTGGGAGAAGCTAGAAAAGCTTTGCAAGACAGGTATACACTAGTTAACTATTACTTATAAATGTTTAAAAATAATATTTATTATTATTAATTGTTTTGTTGGTTATTATTACTTAGAATAAGTGATTCAAATGCTCGCCTTGGTTCAAATGCAATCAACTTGGTAGAATTAATTTCAAAAGCTATGGGATCATCTTTTAAAAACTATATAAAAGGTTATTTACCTGGTGTTTTAAATGCATTGGGTGACCCAAAGGTATTATATTATTAATATTTTTTAGAATAAATATTAAATATTAATAATGATGTATAAACTATTTTAGACGTTTAAATGTCAAAGTGCTCGTCAATGTATGAATACATGGGCAGATGTATGTGGTTATCGTGAATTTTTTGGTGGTGATATACTTTTGGATGCATTAAAAAATAATTCAGTAACATTAAGATCAGAGTTATGGACTTGGCTTGCAGAAAAGTTGCCACTCAGTATGATTTTAATTATTAATTTAATTAAACAAGTTTTAATTTAATTTTTAATTTGTTTAGTCCCTTCTAAGTCAATTCCTGCTGATGAGTTGAAATGTTTGCTTCTGGTTCTTTACACAAGTCTTGAAGATAGAAATGCAAGTGTCCGTAGTGCTTCTGAAAAGGCAGTACTTGGATTTATGATGCACTTAGGTTATGCTTCTATGTATGGAGCATGTGAAAAACTTAAGGTATAATTTTACTATTTAAAAATGTTAAAATGTATTTAAATATTTTAATAGTTTATTTGGTTTGTAGCCAATGTCTGTCAAGTTTTGCAGAGAAAAGTTGGACAAGGAAAGACCAAATTTACCCGTTGTACCAATTGAAAAACCCAAGGTTGTAAAATCTGGTATTCCTGCAGGCTCTTCTGTTAAATCAGGAGGATCAAAAATACCACCTCCTAAAGCTGCTACTAAAACTAATAAAGTTTGTTATACTACATTTTAAATTTACTTTTACATTTTAGTTAACTTGCTATTTAATAAATTTTTTTTTTTCATTAAGGAAAATGCGATTCCTCGAGTAAGTACTGCTACTGGAAAAAAAAAAGAAGAAGTTGATAATGGCCCATTATTCCAGCGAAATAATTTAAAGCACCAACGTGATATTGATGAACATAAATTAAAAGTAAAATTATTTATATTATTATTTATTTATATACAATGTATTTATTAAAACTAAGTCTTACAAGTATATTTATATATTATATATCGATGGCGTAGCGCACAAGTGTGATAAGTGACATTTTCGTAATTGTTCAGAAGAACGATTTTTAAGTTTGAGATGTTATAACAA